CCCGCTACAGTCCCACCAGGCTCGCTTCACGCTCGCTACCCGCAGTCCTAGCCCGGACTCCGCCTGCCCCGCGCCCCGCCCGCCGCCCGCCGCGCCCTCTGGCGGTAAACCTGAGCCACAGTATCGGGTAGCAGAACGCCCCGCCGCTTGTAGGGGGCGCTCGACGAGTAATCCTCGCATTGAAGTTGCGGCGTGGGCCGCTTTTCACGCTCTCCTAGAATGGGTAAGATTCCAGGTTACGAATCCAAAGTTTTTCAGAATCAGATCTCAGAGATGGTTCCTATTCTTTTTGCTACCCACCTTATCCCAGTGAAAGCAACATGCATGCACCAAAGGAATGTTTGTAATGTTCGAGGTCAGCACAGAGCATTCTACAGGTGTGTTGCCTCAGTTAATTGGGGCACGTTTTTACCACAGAGAACCCACACACACACACACAGACGAGGTCTCACTATGTAGTTCTGGCTGTTATGGCGCTCACTACGATTCACCTTCTTCTACCTCCCTGAGTGTTGGGACTAAAGGCCTTCATCACTACACCCAGCTGGAAGGAATTATAATTTTCATAAGGGCCCCATCTAAAGAAATGTGTCTATATAGAACTTTCTAGATTGATGGAAATACTCTAGGTGTTGTCATGAGTCACATGGCAGCTAAATATCTGAAATGTGGTCCTGGTCATGAAGAACCTGACTTTTCAGCTGGATTTTCTTTTAGTTTGAGCTTACTTAGTCATGTGGGATCACTGTGGTAGTGGCCAGGGGACCACTGCCCTCGTGAAGAGACTTGAAAGCTTAGCCTGAAATCAGGGAGGGTGAGGCCACTCCTCCTTCTGTTTTCACTCTCACCCCCTTCTTGCTCCTCTCCACAGAATCTCTCCTGCACTATTGTCCCCCCAAACCATTGTTCATAAAGTAGAAATCAGATCACACCACACCTTTGATAAACAAACGAACAAACAAAAAAACAGTGGTTCTCCCGGTTGAGGGGAGGCAGGAGGATCGCAGGTGCAAAGTCAGTGGGGGCTACAAAGTGAGGCCTTGTCTCAACACACCACACACACACACACACACACACACACACACACACCAATAACAGCCCAGAAGGGTGGGAGAACTTGCTATCTAATCAAGATACTAACCTAATCAGCTTAGAACTCTTGACTCTTCCTGGCAGTGGCTGCTGGACTAAGGTGGGAAACTAGCCCAGGTCTGCAGGTAGTGACCCCCATGAGCTCTTCTAATTCCCTCCTGCCTCCCTCTTTCTCAGTGGCCAGCATGGGGGAAGGGCAGCCAGAGCCTGAGCTCCAGATGTGGCCCAGTCAGCAGGCTTGTGGGGGCCCTCCGAGGAGGGTGTGGGGGAGGGGGTGCCCAGGCTGGCGGGTGCTTCACAATGAGGTTTTGTCCCTCTGGGGGCGGTTCTCAGAGCTGCCTCTCTTAGGTATATAGAGTAGGATTTTGCTGGAGGCCCAGCTGTGGGCACTAACCACAGCTCCCTCTTCCCAGCCAAGGCCCCCACCAAGGGGGGGAGGGGGCCACACTGAGCAGCCCATTCTTTTCCAACTCATGTACCCAGAGGTTTGTCTCCTCTGCAGACTCCCCTAAGACAATTGTTATTCTGCACTCCGGCCCCTCCTCCAACCAGGGTCAGGCCTGCTTGTAGACAAAGTGAACACCCCGTCATGCCTTGCAACTTTGAAAGATGAATTTATTTCCTGAGTTGCCCGGGACAACTAGAGAAATAACACCCTTTGAAACGCCCACTACCCAAAGATCATTCCTATGTACTCTATCCATAAATTCTATGTCTAAATGTCTACTGTCTCAGGGTGGGCTGGTGACTTCAGTATTGGTCTTGTCAGGTCGTTAAGGGCTGAGGATGGGGTGACCCACTGTGACATTATCAAGACAATGAATGCTCTCAAATCCAGGGTAGACTTGAGGTTAGACCAGGCAGGAAGAAGCCCCCTTTTAATGTCATGGGAGAGGGCCCTGCCACCTCCCTATTCCATTAGGGCCACGGAGCAAAAGTGCAGCCACACCCCAGGGCCTCCCATGTTTGGGCTGGAGTGAAGGAGGAGGCTTAGACACCGTGATGAAGTTGAAGTCCAAGCGCAGGAGGGCCTACTTCAAAGCAGGGTGATGCTGGGGCTAGTAAAAGAGCCTAGGGGGACTTTTGTACCAGACTTTGTCATCTGTCGAGATGGCTGCCATCTGCTGTGTGGCCCTGAGCAAGCCACAGTACCTCTCTAGCCAGTTGCTCTGCTTCTGTCCCATTAGGCTCAGTATCATTTGCAGAATACTCAGAGGGGAAACCATTATGAGAGGAGGGTCCTAGGCTAGGACAAGCCTCTGGATTTGGTCCTATGTCTGTCTGTACCTCTTGTGTGACCCAGAGCAACCTGTTTCTGCTGCTGTTCAGAAGTCGTCAGGGGAAGACAGCTTTCAAGGCCAAAAGCCCTAGCTCCTCATCAAGTGGGATCATACTGGACTTGGGAGGCAGTCTGAGTGGGAAGGAGGTGGAGTCGAGGCTTGGCTGGGCCAAGGGTGGCAACACCAAGCTCTGCAGGCCACATTGAGACCAGCTGGAGAAGCAGCGCCCCCTGCTGTGTGGAAGTTTCACGGCTTGAGGCTGGCAGGATGCTCAGCATTGCCTGTTTACCCTGGGCTCTCCTGCCATTCCCCAGCCTCAGTGCTCTGGACCCAGGCTAGGCTGTGTCCCTGAGGCACACTCCCCCAGAGAAGTCCTTATAGTGGCTTCAGCACTTCAATGCTACCTCTCTGGGATTCCCATTCCTGCTGCAGCTCATAGCACGGGGTGGAAGGCAGAGGGGTGGGCAGACCTGGTGGAACCAGCCTGGTATTCCAATTGCTGGTTCTACATCGGGGGCAGTTTACCTACTCTTGAGTCTCAGTTCTCTCTGGAAGGAAAAAGGGACAACATGCTTCAAGGGTACTAACCCTTTCCCCAGTATAGCTTGCTTAGGCAGGACTCAACAAGTGACTGCTCTCAAGCCCTCAGGATTCAAGGGGACTTCTGCCTGCTTGCTGTAACTCAGCGTTGTCCTGGGCCTGGGCACTGACATGGCAGGAAGCCAGGGAAAAATACAGGGCTCTTCCTAATGCAGCAAACCGTATATGTGTTTTATTTTTAAGTTTCTATTATGTCTGTGCATTTATTTTGGGGGAGGTGTGCGTGTCACACAGAGCATGCCTGTGGAGGTCAGAGGACAGCTTGGTGGTAGGCACTTCTTACATACATGATTCCTGGGAAGCAAACTCAGGTGGTCCAGCTTCGTGACAAGTGCCTTGACCTACCTACTAAGCCATCTTGCTGGCTTAGCACGTAATTTTAACAAAATCATGGGAACTGTATCAACCTTGAGCCCCACAGTTCTAACCTGCTGGGCTGTTCTTGCACCTTCCTACATGCCTTCTGTCTTTGGGGGCACAAAAGGCTTGGTCCCAAAAATCCTCTGGTTTTCCCCTTAGGCTTTCTGGCTCCTCTAGGGAATGGTCTCAGAGGTCTTCATTCCCTTACCCTGTTGTGATCTTGGCAGCATGTCCCCACACTACCTCCATTCCCACCTGATGAAAAGACGATCACACGAGGCAGAGGTGTGCTTCTACATCCAGTTTATACACAGCTCTATACAATATACAGAAAACTTTATATACAGATATATTTATAGAATAAGCTATATTAATGTCTCTCCTTTTTACAGCAATATTAGTGTGGATCTTTCATACATTAAGTACAAAAAAGTCACGGGAGAATGGCACACAGAGTGCAGAGGGTTTGTGAGGGCCTGCCTGCTCGCTACTATTTGCATATGCAAGTCCCCCAGATCCCTGGGAGGACAGGCCAGCGCAAGGCTGGGAGAGCTTGTGCTGTGGGTCTGGGGGCAGTGTGGGGGTCAATCTGAACTGGGATGAAGGGGGTGGCTCAGACCCCCCCAGGTGTGGCATGGAGTGACAGGAACGTGCAGCACGCCTACCCTTCCGGGGTCAGGCAGGGAGAGGACAGGGAAGGGGTGGGCTGGCCCTGGGTGTCTAGGGCTGAGTCCAAGCCTGCCCCAGCCCCAAGCCTGTAACACAGTATGGTTGCAGCCTTGGGGGTGGGGGGTATGTCCCTGATGGCTCAGTCCTAGGCACAGGGGCACACCCTAGAGGAGCCCCCCCACACCTACCCTGACAGAGGAAGAGTTGAAAGGCCAGACCCACAACTCTCCTTGCTGCTGGCTGGGTGTTTGTTGGATTGTTTCTCTGATTTAAAATTCTGTCTAACATTTGAATTCTAAGAACCACTGATTTTTATTTTACTTCTGTGCTAGGCTGAGGCACTGCCTTGGCATGGGGGCAGAGTGGCCAAGAGTCTGGTGAGGTGGGGAGACACAGAGCAAGGGGAGGCCCAGCTCCCAGGTCTCTGTCCCCATCTGTTAGAGTAGATAGCTATCCAGGCCATCCCAGCTGTGGGGATTAGAGTTGGGGCTGAGGCCCAGATACCAGTGACCATGAGGTGGTCAGGGGAGCCTAGGTAGCCCAGAGAGGCTGTGAGTGGGGCTAGAGTGCTAGGGACTGTTTCCACGGAGAAG